ATTAGGATTGCAATGTGATTATTGATACTTGATGGATTGGGTTGTACTTTTCAATTTGGTGGTCTAATTGGGAGTATAGTTTTATACCGTTGGATTGTGATTTTCCAACTTATTTAGTGTGATTTAATTCTAACCATTGATATCTAAGTTTCCATAATAGGAAGGGAGACTTAGATATGCTTATTTGTAGAGAAGTCGTCCCCCTCTGTTGTTGTTATATATAGAAGTTTTAAAACCGTTATTCAGTCCTATCGTATCGACAACTTTCAAAAGGGGGTAAAGCGCTCTATTTTTTTTCAAATCTCTCAAAGGGTCATAAGGAATTCTCAAAGGTATATGTGCGTTAATCATCAATTAGGTACGAGCCTAAATTCCCTATTTAATTAATTGTAATATTCTTGATTTCTACTTGTGGATTATTTGTTTAAACTCAACATAGGGTTTATGAGTTTCCTAATTTTTCTAAATAAAAATTGGTTCGAAAAAACTAATGCCTGTGTCAGAGCTCCTAGTTTTGAATTTCTTGAACGACGGATTTTGGGTGCATTTCATGCTTTTGTTAAGGGGCTAAAGGATAGGACCCCTTCTTGTCTTGGTTATTTATAGGGAATTTTTTTTTTTCTTTATTTTTTTGGTTCAAAACACGGATTATAAATAAAATAATACTGTATAGTCTGTATTAGTGTTTAGTAATAACCATACCTTAATTACAATTTGGACAAACATGCCTAACAGGGTACTATGGCTAGTCTCATTTAGGCATTTATTATCAGGCTACATTAATTAATTTAAGAGAAGCATAATCCTAGAAAACTAAACCATTAGTGCATTGTTCTTAAAAAGTTCAGATTAGTTGGGAGTTAAGGACAAATCGGACCCTAATTCAACATCTAAATTGAATCTAATGTGCACTTTTAAATTAAAAGGGAAAATTATACATAGGTAAAGTTAGGAGTTCTAAATAACAAAATGATCTGTTTTAAAAGTTTATTTTTTTATTTGATAAATTTAAACAAAATAATTACATATACATCAAGAATTATTGTTAAAGTCCCAAATACCCTCTTTGTCAATAAATATGACTTGCTTTTTTGGTTGTCTAGAAATATGCCTCTTTAGATGCTGCTTGTTTCCTTTTTTAATAAAATTGAATAATTATCAATATATATATATCAAAAAAAAATTCCCGTTTGTAGTGAGGTCAAATTTACAAGATTATAGAATAAAATAAAACAGCAAAATAAAATAAAACGTACCAATAAAAACCTATATTAGCTAAGAACACAAAGGATATTACCCGATCCCAACAAAATAATGTAGCAAGTACTAATATTTTATTCTCAAGACAATGGTCATCTTTACTATAAAGTCAAAAAAATAATTGAAAGAAGTATTCCATGCACCAATAAGTCATATGCCTTGCACCATATACAATATTGGTACACCATAAAATCTTATTACAATTTTTATGTTTTAAAGAATGTTTTGTGTCTTTAATTAATTAGACTTTTACACCATAATATTGGTACGTTTCTTTTATTTTGCTTTTTTATTTTATTCCATAATTTTGTAAATTTGGTCTCACTACAAATTATATATGAAATCACTTTGAAAGGATAATTCAGGAAACTTTCTTTGATATATATGTATATTGATAATTAAGCAATTTTATTAAAGAAATAAACAAATAGCAATTAGAGACATACATCTCAACAACAAAAAAAACAAGCCAGATTACAAAAAGGGTATTTGGTACTTTAATAATAATTCTTGATGCATTTGTAGTTAGTTTGTTTAAATCAATCAAATTGAAAAATAGACTTTTAAAATAGATCATTTTGTTATAACTCTACCTATATGTAGTTTTCCCAAGATAGCGATAGGTTCCAAGCATGCGACATGCCACTGTCATCCTAGCTGAGGTGGTCATTTGTTTAAAGAAACGCTTAGCTTTTGAGATCGATCAAGGACAATTTAGTTGGTGATGAAATTAAAAAGCTTTGGTTCTGTTGATGCATGGGTGCATGATGGGTAATTTTTCTAGTTGTGTTGATGGGGTTGGACTATAGTGTGAGATATAAATTCTATAATTGGTAAATTTTGGTGGTGTCAAAACAAGTTCGATCGAGTTGTAATTTCAAGTTACCATATCAAGATCGAGATTGGCTACGGATTGGAAGGTTGTTCAAATATACTATACTGAGATCGTCGAGAAATGAAAGAACAACACTTTAGGAAAAAGTCTAAAAAGGTTAGGACACGTTCCATACTTGGTATATTTTTAGAACTTACCAAAAACTGTGTTTTCAGACCTTTAAAGCCTTAGGATTCAAGTCTGTCAAACTTGAACCGGTTCAAGCTTCTTGGAACCGGTTCAAGCCTTCATCATTGGCTTAGAATTTTTCACTGTCATTCTTGAACCGATTCAGCCTTTCTTGAACCGGTTCAAGGTCTTCTAGCAGGTTAAGGAAACTTTGTAATCCTATTCTGCTTTCTTTCCTAGTTGGTTTAGAATTAAAGCAAAAGTCCTATACACAAAATTTCCTCTATTTTCTGAAGCATTAAGTCTCTGAAAATTCTATAAACCCTAATATTCATATAGGTTTTGTACGGCTTTTGCATTACAACTTCATTATTCATAAAAGCCTTAAGTAAATTATTTTTGCAGAAAATCCAAGTTGATTTTTTTGTCAGTCTTTTTAGAACATACACATAAACACAGAGTGAGTTTAGAGTGTTGTTCAAATCCTGATCATGATCAAAGTCTCGCATCTACAACGATCAGAGAAAAACAAATCTACTTCTATATCGAATTCAGATATTGAAGAACAGAAGTAATAGCGATCACACTTTGAAAGGGTCAAAGCATTCGAGAAGTGTTGTTTGATCTACCTACAACCCTTTTAAGATCAAGAGTAAGCCTGAGGTCAAGCGTTATTGGACGGGATGTCACAAAGCCAGAGGATTTTCAGTGATTAGTGTTTGGTAGAACGATAAGGTGTGAGTCAGAGTCAAAGTTCAATGTACGTACTTTGTTTCATACATAGTGGATCGGTTTACTTTGGACTGCACAGTCCATAAGGTTTTTCCCACACAAATAATTGATCTATTTTACGAATTGGGGTTTCCTCGCTAAAAATCATGGTGTCATCTCTAACTCTTACTTTCCTTTATTTTATCTTGCATGTGATTAATTAATTAATTACTAAAACAAGTATAGGTTAGAAAGACACAGACCTTTTTCTAAACATTCAAAACCTTCTAAATATTCCGCTACGTACAACTCACAAATTGGTATCAGAGATAATTCTACACATTAAGTTGATCTTTGTGGAAAGTTTTATTTGATTTCAAAATTTTGTTTTTATCATTTATTATGCGTTGAAAAAATGTGGTTCTAATCAACGTGGTCCTTTATTTGAAGAAAACAATTACAATTTTTGGAAATCAAAGATGAGAGCTTATTTGCAAAATTCAAGAGGTAAAACTTGGGCTATTGTTAAATGTGGTTATACACCACCTACAGAAGATAAATTGTGGATGGTAAAGTAGAAAAAGTTTTAAAAGATGTCTTTGCTTTTATTGTTGTTGAAACTGAGCATAATAATGCTAATGGAAAAGCTTAATATGCAATTATTAATTATGTTGTTTCATCTGAATATGCTAATTTCTTATTGTAAAACTGCTAAAGACGCTTGGAATATTTTGCAGGTTACTCATGAAGGGACTTCAAAAGTGAAGTTATCCAAAATTCAGATGCTTTCTCATAACTTTGGGAACATCGTGATGAAACAAGATGAATTATTTTCTGATTTTTATTCTAGTCTTCTTGAAATTATTTCTGAACCGAGACGTATACTTAGGCAAAAGAGTTAATGATAAGAAAATCTGAGGAAAAATCTAAAGGTCTTTACCTAAAAGATTTCAAATAAGAATAGAAACTATCACTGAACATTGGGATTTGAAAAATTTTGAGATGCAGAATTTTGATACAAATCAGAAGGAGAAGAATCTTACTTTAAAATCAATACAGGTTGAGAATTCTATTGCTGACAACTCTGATGATAATTTTGCTTTTCTGTCAAGGCAATTCAATCAGATATTGCAAAAACTTTTGACAATCCTCAAAAGTCAATCCTCAAAATTTTGACAAGGCGTCGAAATTTAGATTTAATGAAAAAAAACTGAATTCACTTGCTAGAATTGTGGTGGCAAAGGTCACCTAGCCAATATTTGTCCTAGTCCTAAGAAAGATCAAAATGATAGGGATAAAGGAAAAGTAATGAAAGTTTCTATTTCTGATTATTCTGCTTCTAGTGATAATGACTCTCCTCATGATAATTGCAATGATTTTTTCTTATATCACTCTTCTTAAAAAAGGTCCTCATATTGTTACGTTATCTACCTCTGAAATTTCAGATAATGAAGACAATGAAGTTCTAGATGAACAGGTTCAAGAGGAAGAAAATGATGAAGAAAGATTGAAGAAGATGGTTGAAGAAACTATTGAAGTCAAACTGGCAATCAATAAGTTAGTTAGCAAAGGAGCTTATCCAAGCAAAAGGGAAGAATGAAGATCTAAGAAAACAGATTAATGAAGGAAAAAGAAAAGATTTTGAAATCGATTCAATCATCACTGAGCCACTACAACAGTTTTGGTTTTTACCAGCGCTTAAAAGCCTTAACAAGAGCTGATTGAATTACCAGCGCTTCTTCAAAAACGCTGGTAAATCCAGTGTCGATAGGTCTTTACCAGCGCTTTTGGAGAAGTGCTAGTAAAGGGTTATTTGAAAAAAAAAAAAAAAAAATTTAATATTTTTTTTTCCCATTATTGTTTTTGGAAAAAAATTTCTTCACAGCTACTAAATGCATCCTAACACAAGTCAATATAAAAATACCATCCAAATTTTTTTTACAAAAAACCACAAGTTAACCTTGCCAATATGAAAAATACCATCGAAATTGACTACTACCACCACAAGTTAAGCTAGTAAAAAATGTATACTAATACAAACACAAGTTAACCTGTCAATATGAAAATACCATCCAAATTGTCTAGATAAAGGTACTAAATGTCACACAAAAAGAATTAAGAATTTTTAACAAATGTAGTACAAGTTTTTCAAAAAGAACCCATCCAAAGCGAAGGAAATTCAAAAAGCACAGCCACGACCCCATCTTCAACTTCAACTTCAACTTCAACTAGTCTTCTTGCCCATTTAATTTGAATTACCCTACATTTTTTATAAATTCATTAAGCGCACATTATAATAAATGAAAATTTAACATATATATAAGAGAAATTAAAAGTTCATAACCTTAACTGAATTGGCATCACGACTAGAAAATGGATTTGGGGATACTCTAGAAGGAGCATTTAAAGAATCAGAATCCTTCAAAATAACAAAACAAAATACATGAAATCTTGGCATAAGTAAACATATATTTAGTAAATAGTAAAACTAATAATAAATATACTTGTCCACTATAATTTTGTTGCATCTGCATTAGCATAGCAACCTGTTGTTGTAGATTTTCCAACTTGTCGTCGTAGTTGGCTCGTAAATTTTCCAACTTGTTGTCATAGTCGGCTTGCATTTTTGAAATCGTCTCCTGCAACTCTACACGTGTAGCGCATGCCTCCTCCTGAAATTTTTTAGCATTATTAATCAGTTCAGCTTTACTAGGAGAGGGCCCCCAAACATCGCTTAGTGTAGGCCCGAAGCCAAGCATCCGCACACGACCAGTTCTCTCTTCTCCCCTCACAATGGAGAACAAATCATTGGAGCTGCCAATAGGCGAGTCAGAGTAACTTTTTTGAAGTTCTCTTATATTTTCCTGCCAAAAAAAAAAAAAAAAAAGTTTGAACTACCATGACATACTACTATGAAACATCCAAAACTGAAAACCCTAGATTCTAAATAAAGCACAAAAGAACTGAAATCCCAACAAGCTATGAACATGTAATGCTTAAATATACATGTGCATGTATAATATATATATATATACACACACACCTAAGCTTTCATGACAAAAACAAAAGGATTTAAATGAAGTAAATAGAGAAAAAAAAAAAATCAAATTTTTATCAAATTAGTAGTTCTTTTAATACATTATGCTAAAGTATACACTTAATAAAAAAGGTAATCAAGTCGTTATTGAAGAGGAAAAATCAAATTAGTAGTCTTTTGAGGTACCAAACATTGTGCTAAAGTATACAATATGATTACAGAAATTGCCAACTTATGAGTACTGTTGTTTATGTCTAAATTTGAATGTCCCATCTAATTGAAGAATCTAATATAGGTAATTGGACAAAAGACTTGGTGTGCAATTATTATTATAGGACACATAATTCTATGTCTTTTATTTAATTAGATTCACTAGGCAAAAGTTGTGAGGGGCATGAATCTAATTAAAGGATGGATACGAAAGCAATCTATTAGTCTTGTTTTCAGTTCTGAAAAGATTCTCTTAACAAATTAGAATTCTTTTTTTAGGTTTTTTAATTCGCCTAAAAATTTTCTCTAGTTCAGAATCGTATTTAAGTGTTGGTTTTGATAAGGAATGACAACCTAATATGCACTATGTCCAATGATAAAAGAGTAATAAAAATAAATAAATAAATAAATATATATATATATATATATATATATATATATATATATATATATATATTGATGCCTAAACGTTTAAACACGTTCAATTTCGTTTTAGCTACATACTAATTTGGATTTTTTTTTTTAAAATTCCATTTCGATACACGTAGTCCCAATCTTACCAAATAAAAGTAATCCGAATAAAAAATTAGTCAATAAAGGTTCCTAAATTGTTGATTAATCCCCTTGGACAAGTACCATATTGTCTGATTACTTAATCCAACACTTTTTAAATGGTAAATCATATTTAATCACCAATCTCAATGCAACAGCACATATAATACGCCAATAAAAAACTATGTGTTCAAAAATGTGTGTGAAAATTGTACATCATTTGATAATTGCTCCTTAAGTATTTGAGCCGGCAGTGAATCCTGATGCAAACCAACTACAAACCACCAAGAAATTATTTCATATATTATAAAACGTTTATATCTAGGATTCAATTATTTAATACAACTTCTTGTTATCTATAATTTACGTACAAATTGCCATGCTTGATGAGATCATATTGAATACAATGGGAGAACTGTCCCAAAACAAGCAAAATCAACAATAATTACAAGTTTACAACGTTTTGATTGTTGCATGAACACGAACAGTGCCCCGTGGTTGTAAACGCTGTAAACGAACAATAATTTACGTTGTAAACGTTTTGATTGTTGCATGAACACGAACAGTGCCCCGTGGTTGTCCTCTTAGTAGGAGTTCTCCTTATCATAGGAGTCCATCTATACTTTCTATCTTTTTTTTTTTCTTTTTTTCTGGTATTTAAAATAATTGCATACTTTAAGTAGGATTTACCTGGCCAAAAACTTGACACAATGGAAGTGAATACAAACTACAAGCATGTAACTCATGATACCCATCATGATATTATTGCATGCACACTTGTTACTGTTCCAATTTATACTTCTTTAAATATATGTTCTTTTGCTTTATTAGTGGGTTGGTAATAATTACTACTAAATACTTTGGAATTAAGTACTGCTAAAAGTAAGTACTGCTAAGATTCACTAGGCAAAAATTGTGTCCTAGTGAATGCTTATTCAATCAAGCATGAAAACAAGGGTTCATGTATGGGGGACACGCACTTTTGGAATAATATGCATAAAGTTCGGTTTGCATCCAATCTATAACCTTCAGCGCATATCCCATGGCAAGGTAATGGCTTTAGTTACTGATCATTGCTTTGTTAAGCTTTGTTGATTATCTTAAATTCCAATCTATTGTTTATTTGGCATAAGTTATAAAGTTAATCTGATCTCCATAATTTTATCAGCTAATTGATTGACATTATATGTTCTGTATAAATCAAATATAAAATTTTGCATATAATTAAAACGAAGGCTCCTATTAGCAAAATGCTTTTAAAAGCTAAAATAGATTCAAAAAGAAGAGAGAGATTTTACTTCTCTAATCATAATTGTTTTCAATAAAAGAAAAGAAAAAAGAAAAATAGAGGAGGAAAATTACTGTCTCAGCTGATATGATAATGTGCATCTTCTCATGCTTGGACATTTAATGAACCTGAGATAGCATTTTCAAGTTTCATCTATGAATTTGGACTGTCTCGTGTAAAGATTACCAATTTCTGTTTGGGCGTGGTGTTTTAGGAGATGTCTCTCTTTTGTTTTGGTTAACTCCTCTGTAAGCTTTGTTTTGGGTTATGCCCTGTCCAATGGGCTGATCTGTTGTCGAGTGTTGTGGGCCTGTGGAATGCCCCTTGTAATACTATACAGTTTTTTTTTTTTTTTCTATTTAATCCTTACTTACCGGAAAAAAAAATAATAAAATAAAATAAAGATTACCAATTCCTCACTGTAGCAACGCAGCATATATCAATAATTACTTGATTGGGTGAGTGATAACAATTTCTTAATTAGTTTTTTGAAGATGGAAATCTTTTCAGAACTGAAAAAAAAAAAAAAAAAAAATCTGAATTGGATTAGAAATCTGCAGAGATTGAATCTGAAACAATTTTTATCAACATGCCAAGCTTTTTGAAGATGGAAATCTTTTCAGAACTGAAAAAAAAAAAAAAAAAAAAGGAATCTGAATTGGATTAGAAATCTGCAGAGATTGAATCTGAAACAATTTTTACCAACATGTCAAGTTTTTTGAAGATGGAAATCTTTTCAGAACTGAAAAAAAAAAAATTCTGAATTGGATTAGAAATCTGCAGAGATTGAATCTGAAACAATTTTTATAAACATGCCAAGCTTTTTGAAGATGGAAATATTGTGATAAACTATCAACTCAAATTTCTATCTTCAAAAAACTTGTTTGTTGAGGGATTTACTTATTATCCTTAAAGAGTGGGGCCAAGAGAAGTATTTGGGCAGGGAGGTATTCAGTTTTATTGAAGATAATATTGCAAAGAAAATAAGGGGATGGAAAGGAAATTTTTTTGTCGCCTAGCAGTAGAAAGGTGTTAAAAGCTATGCTTACCCTCTTATGCAATATCTTACTTCAAGCTCCCGAAATTTTTTTATGACAGGTTGAAGAAATATGGTTTCAGTTTTGGTGGGCTGTTTGGGAGGAAAAGTTTAAAACTCGTTGAATTAGTTGGGATTGTATGGTGAAACCTAAGTCATGCGGTGGGTTGGGTTTCCGGGATGTGGAGGCTTTTAACCTTACTCTTCTAGCTTATATGGGGTGGAGATTTCAAGTGCAGAAGACTGATTTGCTGTTTGAAGTTTTGAAAGGAAAGTATTTTCCTTCCTTAGATTTTTTGAAAGCTGGGAAGGGGCATAATCCATCTTGGGTTTGGAGAAGTATCTTGGCAGCTAGAGCAGTGATGGAAAAGGGGTTGCCACTGAGGTAGGAAATGGGAAAAGTATTTTTTGTTGGGAGGATAATTGGATTCCTCAATCAAAAAAATTTAGGCCATCCACCGTTGCTGATTTATTTTTAGGCTTTTCGAGTTTTAGATCTCATTGATGTTCGGACTAATCCTGGAAGCCTACTCTCATTTCTCAGGTACTTTGCTCTTCTGATGCTCAAAAAATTCTCTAACTTCCACTTAGTGTAGTGGAACAAGAAGATAAAATGGTATCAGGATATGATAAAAGGGGTATGTAGTAGCTTTGGAGCTTTGTAAAGGGCGGGATCAAGGTAGCAGTGAAAATCATTAATTATTTCAGAATTGAGCTTGAACTGCTTTGGTTAATTATGTGCATTTTTTCTTGAGTGTTGGATTATTGAGTATTGGCAGACTACTACTATGCACAAGGTCAAATAAGTTAAGAATAAATTTTTGATATCTATTTCATTTGAGAATAAAGATGTATTCTCCAAATTCAAAAGGTTCTTGAATTGGAGGATGTGATTAGGGTGTGGGCTATATCACTAATATTATTATGGTGATGTTATGTAATGGAGGATGCACGTTGTTTTTACATTTTTCTTATTTGGTGTGTCCTGCGAATTCGGAGGATGTATCATTACTCTTTAACAAAACTAACAAGATATCTGTAAGTTTTCACAATGATACATCATATAAGGATCTGTATTTGTTTCGGGGTGAATCTACAAATCTATAAAGCATTGTTAATTTATTTTTAAAATATAAGATATTTAAACACGTAATTAGTAATATAAGTTTCAAGCTATAAATTTTTTCTATGACAGTCTAATTTGTCGAGTGGAAGTTGTTTCCAATTAATCTGATTTTCTTCCACGACCTTGTTATAGGGCAAAGTGGTCAAATTGATTTCTAATTACATAGAGTAATATTAAAAAAGAATAAAAAAAACTTTGCCTCCCAAAGTTATGACTTATATTTCTAAATTTGTGCACCTTTGTTTTTTTCTGTAACTTGATACGAGAAAAATTAGGATGCTCAAGCAAATATTAATGTTTTTACCTTAGAAAATCTAAATTGAAATGAAATCTATGCAAATCAATAGAGGTATGTTCTTCGAAGAGATAACAATATTACTAAATACCAATTCATCTAGCATGATTACGTTCGAGATTTATAAAGTTCTCAAATGGGTGTAATAGCATCGTTACATTGAATTATTGAAACCTTTTATACACATATTTATCTATATACTCTATAATATAGATATATAGACATAAATTTGTGGTTGAACACTTGGATCTCTTGATTTGCAATTCCCAGTTGATGAGAGGCAACAATTTATAGTGCCACAATATATGAGTAACAAATTAACACAAACAACAAACAACAAACAACAAACAACAAATAGCAAATACTTCATACTTCTTCTCCACAACACAAATCAATCAACAAGAAGCCTCCACATACAATGATCCCATACTCCCATGCTTTTCAACAAATACAAGAAAGTAAATTGCCTCCACATGGGCCGATGATTTAAAAATTGGTCACTTCAAGGCACATGACCCCCTAATACAGCGTAAAGAGTTTAAAAATTGGTCACTTCAAGGCACATGACCCCTTTTTTGCAAAATGGAAGCGTGAAAACTTACAATCATCTCCGAAGCAGCAGCATCAGTAGCTTTGCCATCCTTATTTACATGTGTGCGGATGAATAAATCTGCACGAGAAAGCTGAATACCTTCGTCTTCCTCAATCTATAAAAGAATACATTGTAATATATATTATTTACCACTAACATTTATAATCATTCAACGACATAAGAATTGAAATAATTTATATTTTCCATAAAAACTTCAACTAACCTCGGCAGAAACACGTGCAAAGCTTTTTGTCCCTGTAGTATGCATCATTGTCTGCTTCCCACGACGTTCTTTATTTTTTTTGTTAACCTTCTACAAAAAGTGAGAAAAAGTAAAAGTTCTTTGAGCAAAGAACATTCCACCTAAAATAATGACTGAAAACATATAAACTATAAATTCAACTCATTGACTTCAAAAAACATTGTGATAGATGGAGGATTACCTTCGCCATAGGCATACCCCAATGCCTAACCAAAAATTCCCAATGCTCCTTTTCAACATTAGGTGGTAGGTTTGCCAATCTTTCTTCATCTGTATCCCTAACTGAGTAGTATTCATTTTTTAACTCACACTTGTACCCCCTCCATTTTTTTTCGATGGAGGATATTGTCCACTGTTTTGTCATGATTCCCACATCATATTTTCCCTGAAAATGTGATAATTGTTGTATGTTAGTCCAATTTTTCCATAAAAATTATTTTAATGTTATTGAAGGGTTTTACCTATACAATGTTCCACATATCCTCCTTCAGCTGTTTAGGCATCTCCCACCAAGTTTTGTAGCACAAAAGAGCTAATTCACCCTTTCGGGCAAGTGTTCCCAGATAATTAGTTTATGTACCACTCCCAGGACCGATCGGCTGTCCAAACTTATTAACCCTAAACAAAAATTAACAATTGTAGATGTTTAGTACAAAAATAAAGATAGAAATCCTTTTTTCTCCTTCATATTGCATATAGTCTAATTATGTAAACTATATTAGATGATCTATATATATATGTACCTTAAAGGTAATAAGGTTTTCGCGTCTATGATATTCTTGCATCGTGTCGGACCCCGCCTCTTCTTCGGCGGTGGTTGGGATGATTTTGAAGTTGAAGCTTTGGTATTTTGTTCACTCACTTTTTCCACTTCACTAACCGTTCGTTTCATTGTCAACTTATTATTTATCCTTCCTAGAAAAGCAAACAAAAAAGTGAGAATTCAGTTAAGAGAATGCAATCAAATTGTTAAAAAAAGACAATAAAATTGTAATTCAACACAACATCTAAACATCAGCACTGGCAATTTAATAACTATGACATAGTGGTAATTATTGACTCTTGTTCCAGGTCAAAGTATTAAGTTGGATCCAATGCAACTGATTACAAGCCAATCTGTAATGCCATCGAGAATCGATGAATAAAATAGCTAATGGACGATAGATATATAGTTGAGCAAGATCAACAATTCAGTCGAAATCTTTGCTCGAAGACGGCATGATGGCTTGGTTTGTTCAAAACAAACCATGCCGGAGAAGTCATCGGGAGTTTTGAAAGTTTTGGTATCTTTTAAATTGATGAAAGAAGATGAAGAAGGAAATGTCAAAGCCATTCTCTTTTTTCTTGGTGTTTTGAAGAGATAAGAGAGGGATTTGTAAGAATTGATGAAGGCATTGAGGGTATATTTATAGAAGAAAAAGTATATTTAGGTTTGAAGGAGACGATGTTGGTGGGCTCTAGTTTAAAAGGGAAAAAGTGCAAAAATCATTATCTGCTCACCTTTTCAAAGTCATATTTCTTAATGTGCAATTACCATTTCAAGTCATACTTCTTCATGTGCAAGTTAAATGCAGGGACTGAAAAGGGATGATTTTTTATGGGTTTTAAATTTCTGTGGTCACTATCAGATATATGTCTCTGTTGTGGTATATTCTATGAAGAGTAAATTAGTAATCATAGAGTTTTTAATTTGCACAAAGTAGTTCTTGTACCCCACATATGACTTTTAGGACAGTAAAGGTTTCTTTAATCTCATGAGATTGTGAAGTATCAGCTCTAGGACTTGCACATTGATTATTTAATTACTGACCTGTCTACAATATCTTGAGATGATACAGCCCCTTGAAGATATTTTGGGCTTATATTAGCTACACCTGTCGTAGTTTAGATTAAATTTTCAGTGCTTTATGGTCATTTAGTTTAAGTTGGTCAATTGGCCATTATATAGGTTTATCTGCGTGCCTCAGATTAGATAAAAGATATAGATATTTTAGACTGTATTAATGTGCCATTATTGGTTTATCTGCTTACCTCAGATTAGATAAAAGACGTAGATATTCTAGATTGTATTAATGTGCCATTATAGGTTTATCTGCATGCCTCAGATTAGATAAAAGATATAGATGTTCTGGATTGTATTAATGTGCCGACCAAAGGTGTTATTTTTTTCCTATTCCCTCTATTTTCAAAATATTCTTACTCAAATTTAAGTTTGCCAATTTGTTTGAGATCATTTTGTTTACCATAAATAGTATCTTTTATACTTCTATTTGAACGTCTAGCTCCACCTCCACTTCTTCAAGATACTATGATAACACTTCTATTACCGTGCTATGCTAACCTTACAATGACTTTGCTAATCATTATTTTTTCTTAGTTGGTACTCTCTCACACACACATGCCTCGTAAACAATTTCTCATACCTCAATAACTTTTGTTCCTTCAATTTTGATTTAAAAAATAAAGTGGGAATTTGCACATATAGCTACAGGAGAAAGGAAATTAGGTGGTCAGTTTCCTCCAAATATTCGGCCATATATCTTGGTGTATAATATAACAATGGACGGTTTAGCTTTCGCCACAACCTGCAAACCCCACAAACTTAGCTAAGTTCCCTTTGGTCGACATATATATGGATGAAAAAACATTTTAAATTCTCAGTGTTGTTTGCATTTGGTTGGTTTAGGATAACATTATTGGAGGGTTTTTCCAAGGAAAAGTGTGTGGTGGTAACAAATTCTGAAAAACATTTTAAATTCAGAATTTCCTTTTTATAGCAAATTAATCTCAACTAAGAGTTACAACAAATTATAAAATAATCAAGTAATACAGTACTTAAGACACAATAACAGTAATATAGAATAAAATCAGTGGTCGGCCCTATAGTAACAATAAAAAATCATGTAGTTAGAAATTTTATCCCACTACGGAGAGTAATTTTATATTCATCCGTCTAAGTCGACATTGATGATTGCACGATTGCACTAATTCTAATCATGAAAGAAATACATTCCAAATATAATGAATAAGTATAACCCAGAAAAGCACGAAACTTGAGCATATATTCATCAACGCATGTCTGAAAAGGGGAAAAAATTTTATACACAGAATATAAAATTAATAAACCCTAAAACAAATTTGCATGTATATATATATGGAGGCGAATTACAAATAGATATGAATAAATTTTGAACCTTTTCTGAATTCAGCGGTTGAAATCAAAGATCCAAATCGTCCAACCTCGACCTGGATTTTCATTGATAAATTTATTGACGAAACTAAAAACAATAATTTTCCCGGCAACACAAAACAACTAATATCTGGAAACCCAATTTGTAAAAGCTACGAAAATAAATAGATCTACCTGAAATGTGAAACGATCGCAATCGAGGCTTTGAAGTCAATGGATATAATAGACTGAAAAAATTATTTCAATCAGAACCATAATAAGAATCATAAACCAAAAATTAGAAAAACCTAAAGATTATTTTAGTTATGGAGATTTCCCTATATATATATATATATATATATATATAATATCGACAAAGAGAAAGCTTCAAGAGAAAGGGGGTACTTACCACCAAGAGAGAGAGGATGAGTAGGATCCGTAAGGGGAAGAGAGAGAATTTGAAATTGAGGTACTTCCGTTAATTGGGGGTTCACTTGCTACACCAGTTAGGGAAGGGGGAATGTGATGTTCACCGGATACACTATTGACTTAGTGACTGAACTAGGGGATCCATCTTGTTTATCGCCGGATAACTCTATGAAACAGAAGGGACGGGACGGGCAGGACGAAGAGAGTTACCTCATAGGGAATCGGAGATTGAGATCGTTTAGATGGAGGTTTTTCAGATGGAAAAACGGCCTCTGAAACGCAGGTGGAAGAAGTGCTTCAGCTGAGAAATGGTGGTGGAGAGAGAGGGATGAGAGAGAGAGAGCCTACGATGAGCTAAAGTAATGGAGATCGAGCATGAGAGATCAAGACGGAGCAGATCGAGATAGCAGAGAGGAAGAGAAGGCTGAGGGACGAACCAAAAGGGCAGATGGATAAATTAGGGCTAAATCAAATTGAAATGGAAAAGTGGAATATAGTGTTTTAATGGAACAAAAGAAAACGACGCAGGGTAGATATATAATATCCTACATACATAAATAAGCGGGGGTGAAAAGTGGAGGGAAGGAGAAAAAATTGGAGGGAATGGAAGGGGGCTATACCAGCGCCTTTCCTTGAAGGGGCGGTACTGTAATACTAATACTAGTGCTTTTTCTTAAAGCGCTGGTACTGTAACACCAATACCAGCACTTTTCTGTTAGTACTCACCAACATCAGCGCTTCAATAGAAGCGCTGGTACTGTAACACTTACACCAACGTTTCTATTGAAGCGCTGGTAATGTAACACCAATACCCGCGCTTTTCCTTAAAGCGCTGGTATTGTAACACCTACACCAGCGCTTCAGTAGAAGCGTTGGTACTGTATCACCTATACCAGCGCTCTTCCCAAGAGCACTGGTAAAAGACTAATATGTTGTAATGAGCTTACCAAGAAGATCATCATTCTTGAAGATAAGATAAGTAGTGCTAACTTCTTGAAAGAATATCTTGGTCTAAAAATTGATTATCTTGAACTTGAATTGCAAACTGCACAAGATAAACTGAAAGGTTTCACTATGGGTCAAGTAAATTTGAACAAGATGATCAACATGGGTAAGAATGTGAATGATAAAATTGGGTTATGTTTTGTTAAAGGCTCATCTAGTAGTCAAGGTAAAACAATTTTTGTTAAACCTGCTGATAATTCTATGCCTGATCTATGTTTGCCTGATGCATTGCATTATGATATGTCTTATGTGCTTATATTGTTGCATTGCACTTTTTGTGGTAAGAATGGACATAAATATCACTCATGTTTTCATAGGAAAAAGAAATATTTTTCTAAAATCCATTCTCATGATGTTCATGCAAAGAAAAATGTGTGTTCTAAGAATAAAAAGAATTTTGTGTCACTTAAGAATTCTAAAACTGAAAATTTGCCTAAGAAAGAGGTAAAATGTGTAAAAGAATTTCAGGAAGTGAGAGTGAAAACTATGTGTATCAAAAAAGTTGATTTGATCAATTATATGCCTGTTAAGTTCGTGAAACTAGTTTCCAAAAGGACTTCACCTTCAAACTAAGTCCTAGGATATTTAGTGATCATGGTTTATGCTTACATTCAAATTTTGTTACCATTGGATCACTTGTTAGGGTTTGGTTTATGTGTTGAGTTTTGATCATATTCATCATGATACATGTGTGAAAATTCTTTCAATGAATTTATAATCTATCTTTGAACGCAAATTGAGACACATGATTATTTGATAAAAATAGATTATTGGCTTCTAATCTATACAATGAAAGAAAATTTGCATTGATTGGGAGATTTTTAGATTTGAATCTCTTGAGTTCATAGTTTTTGTGCACTAGTCCATATTTGAAAATTTTGATTGAAAATCTTTGAATTGTTGACTAAGATTTATTGATCACAAATACTATAAAGGTTATTATTTGAAGAAAAAAAAATAGGAGCTTAAAAAAAATGAAAATATTCAACATAAAAAGAAAAGAAAATTAAAAAATTGTTGAATTCATTGTTAAGGAAAAGGCTACCTATTGAGAATTGATCGAAAGCTCCCATTAGACTTTGAAGATGAGCAATTGAGTAAAAAGAAAGGTAGAGATAAGTTAAATTGGGGTATTATTGTCTGTTCTTTAGAGTGAAAGCCACCTTACTTAGAAAAACTGCTCAAAAATAATTTTATCTTGATGTTTTTTGATCCATATGGTTTAGACAATAATTTGTTGAAATTCAATTAAAAATTGATGAGATTGGGTTTCACACACACACATGAACTTGCTAGATTAATTTTTAAATTTTTCAACAAAATTTGCAAAGTGGATTTCATATTGTGATTACTTTCTGAGAGTTAAAAATATTTGAAAAATCTGTGGAGTCAAAAATTTGTACACTTAGATACTCTTTAAAATTCCCTGAAAAGTTTTGAATCATGTGTTGACTCGAAGAATTAAATGATCAGTGATTTGTTGCTTTTAAAATAAATAAAAAAATTTGAAAATTTTGAAAAACTCAAAAAGATTTTTGATTTTTTTAGTTTTTAGATTTTTTGTGTTTATTTTAATCACTGAGAGTTTTCGAAAATTCTGGAAAAGAAAAGAAATTTTTCTTGTGCCTTGAACAGGTTCCAAAGTGGCTGAACCAGCTCAAGAGGTCCTTGGTTTCAAACCAAAAGGATTGTAAGTCTTTAACCGGTTCCACTTACAAAATTTTGGATTGATAATCCATTGCAAATTTTCAGTAATCATTCTGAACACAATCCAATATCTTAGATAATTGTAAATTGTTGTAGCACCAGGACACCCGGTCCACTGTCATTAAACGTCTATAGTCCTCACCCAACACCCCACATTCATCATACTGAGGACAGAGCAGTGAATCACATGATATCAATCGTCGATCTACATATGATGACAAGGTTTAGAAGACTGACGCACTTCACTACATCAAGCCAGCCTAGTTCTTGGTCTCTCTCCCCCAGCCAGTACCTGACCCCTCAGGCATTGGTCGTCCAAGACCAATGCCCGATCATCCAAGACCATAGCCTGGTAGGTCTCTACACACTAGGAGGACTTTAAGTCCAATAAAGTTTCTACAATCAATGAGTTCACCACGTCCAAGGTGGTCCCATGCCCAATGAGCTTTTTAACTATCGAGCACCAAGGATGGTCTCTTCTAACAGAAACCAAGCCTAGTCTCGTGTACATCAAGTTTAGCGGGTCTCTGCCACTATACCTACAATGCAGGGCGAGCATAAAGGATAAGCTCACGAAACTCAAAAATTTTACTCCCTTATTAAAGGGCAAGCTCATTGAGCTATATATATATATATATAGCATATTCCCTTATTAAAAGGAAAGCTTAGAAAGCTCGGGTCACACGTCCCTTTATTAAAGGGACGAGCGGAGTGAAACTCGTAAAAACTATCCCTTTATTAAAAGGGTGAGCTGAGTAAAGCTCTAAAAAATTAAACCCGTTATTAAAACGGCAGGCTGGGTGAAGCTCGAAATTATTACTTCCCTTATCAAAGGGGCGAATTGAGTGAAGCTCGTAAAACACATATAAATATATATAGTGTGTTGATTCCCAAAGGAATCCAACTATCACCGTCCATTGGTGTTGTTGAGTGTAGGATTTGAACCCATACCTTTAAATGGTTGTTCACCTTGGGAATAATAGCTGAGGCCGAACTGTTCACCTCGGGAACATTACCCCATGGTAAAGTCGAGGTAGAACTATTCACCTAGGGAACATTACCTCGAGGTAAAAAAAATTATTGTTCACCTCGAGAATAGTACCTGAGGTAGAACTGATAACCATATACGTATTATTTCCAAAGAGAATAAAGTGATCATGTGGTTGTATTTGTATGTCGCCTTCAGGAATTTGTAACCCAGACAAAAAAAAAAAAATGGATTCCAAAGAGAATCAGGCAATCACGTGGTGGTGGGATTTAAATTCACACCCCTTTCACGTGAAAACTTTTGGATACCTCGGGAATAGTAACCTGAGGTAATAAAAAAAGTCACGTATTTTCACATCGGGAATAGTACACTGAGGTAAAAAAAAAAAAAAAAAAATTTGACCTAGTATTCACCTCAGGAAATGTAACTGAGGTGAAACTGTTCACCCCAAATTCCAAAGAGAATCAAGCAATCACGTTACCTCCGACAAAAATCAGGGTGGAATTCGAACTCACGCCCTTTCATGCCACAACTTTTGGCACATCGGGAATAGTATTCGAGGTTAATATATATATATATATATATATATATATATATATATATATATACTCCAAAGAAATTTGTCATTTCTCAACGAAAAGTTGTGCAAGGTGGGATTTGAACTTACGGCCTTTCATAACATTTGTCAACATTGGGAATCGTAACCGAGGTAAAAAAAAAAAAATCATGGGAATAGTACTCGAGGTACTATTCACGTCAAGAATAGTATCCCCAAAAAAAAAAAAAAAACACTTTGATGTTTCCTAGTTTGACATTTTAATATTTCTTAATCTGTTTCGAACAAGGAAATAAGGGCAACTAATGGGAAAAAAGTAACCCAAATTTTGACCAACATCTTGACCAATGAGTTCTTTTTTACTCTTTTTCATAGAAAAGAGGATAACAACAACATACACTAAGGAGGAGGATGTTATGATTCAGTTAACGAAAAGTAGGAGAGTCAGTTAAGGAAGATAAACCAAATCTCCCCAATCGAAATCTACGCAACTAATTGGATGCAACGACCCACTCCACCACATGGTATGATATTGTCTGCTTTGGGCCAGAGCCCGCACGGTTTTGATCTTGGGCTTTACCCCAAAAGGCCTCATACCAATTGGAGATGACACACTTACATATAAGCACTTCATCTTTCCTCTACCCAGGCGATGTGGGACTGTACACCCGTAGCTCGCCAGTGTGGTAGCCTGACCGTGTCTCTCGCACCCGCCCACGGCACACCCTCCCACAAGGTCATCATAATCCACCCCCCTTAGAGGCCCGACGCCCTCGTCGGCACACTTCCGGCTGGGTCAGGCTCTGATACCATTTGTAACGACCCATTCCATCACATGATATGATGTTGTCCGCTTTGGGTCTGAGCCCGCACGGTTTTGCTCTTGGGCTTTACCCAAAAAGGCCTCATACCAATTGGAGGTGACACACTTACATATAAGCACTTCACCTTTCCTCTACCCAGGCGATGAGACCTTTTGGGGTAAAGCCCAAGAGCAAAACCGTGCGGGCTCAGGCCCAAAGCAGACAATATCATACCATGTGATGAAGTGGGTCGTTACAAATGGTATCAGAGCCTGACCCAGCCGGAAGTGTGCCGACGAGGACGTCGGGCCTCCAAGGGGGGTGGATTGTGATAACCTTGTAGGCGGGTGTGCCGTGGGCGGGTGCGAGAGACACTGTCAAGCTACCACACTGGCGAGCTACGGGTGCACAGTCCCACATCGCCTGGGTAGAGGAAAGGTG